CACTCAGCTATAAAGCGCTTTGCTTGATTAAAAGAGATTTCAAAGTCATCAGGCAAAGTAGTTTTGAAAAGCTTGGGAAAACCAAAGTACTTACACTGAAAAATTAAGTCAAACATGGAACAATCAAGGACAATGCGTTTTCCTAGAACTAGGAATTCTAACTTAGCAGGCTTACTAGAATGACGATTGGCATAGAACATCCTCACTAAAGGATCATAAACTTTGGGAGGGGGTACAGAGAGGAATTTAGACCATCATTGAAAAACAAACAAATTCTTTACCTTACAATTGATGGCCTCCATGTCATCAAGATCAATTACTCTGCCGTGAGCAATGGGCTTGTGTCTAAGAGCAACAAAGAAATCCCTATTTGAGGTATCCTAGAAACTGAGGGCGGACTCTAGAAAACTCGAGAGGTCTACTTTGGATTTCTTGGGGGTAAAAGATTCAAGGGGGTCTTACATGGGCCTTTTGCCAAGAGCTTTTTATCCTATTAGGTAAGAGTGGCCAAATGGTTCTACCTAAGAAAAGGCAAACCCTTCTGAGTGGTCAGACCTTAGGTCTACTTATTTTGGAGGCTGAGAAGAGGGTTTTCCTTTAGAACGAGTACTTTTTCTTGTGGAGGTAGATGGATTCTTGGAGTGTCTAGCCATTGGAATATTTTGAAGAAGGGTTTATGAGAGATAAGAACAACTAAGACAATAGAGGATGGTTCAGAGGGCTAAAAAGAAAAGGTTTTGACGGTTGAGTACAGGAAAGGAAAAGGTGTTAGTGAAGGGTCATGATGATTGATTTTCCTTTCTTGAAAGTTGCGACTGATTGGAAAAGTGAGGGAAATCAAAGGAGCTTAATTAATGCATACTTACAGAAAAAATAAAACTGAAAATATTAGATACGCAAGAATTAAAATTAACACATAGGTCCTAATTTTTATGATCAAGCGAAATAATACCAAGTAGTTCTCTTAGAGAGCAAAATCTATCTTCACGTAAAGGCTTAGTGAAAATGTCTGCTAATTGATCAGTGGTGCCAACAAATGATAATTCTATACCTCCTTTAAGGACATGATCTCTATCCATAGTTCTGATTGATGAGTCGCAAGTCGGTGTTAACGAGAGGCTGGAGGTTTGGAGACAGGCTCTTGAGTCTAAGGGTTCCAAGCTGAGCAGGACAAAGACGGAATACCTGAAGTGTAAGTTCAGCGCTGAGCCAGGGGAAGAGGGCGTGGATGTGAGGCTTGATTCGAAGGTCATCCTGAGTAGAGGCAGCTTCAAGTACCTTGGTTCGGTTATCTAGGGGGAAGGGGAGATCGACGAGGATGTCACACACCGTATTGGGGTAGGATGGATGAAGTGGAGGTTAGCATATGGAGTCCTGTGTGACAAGAGAGTGCCACCGATACTCAAAGGTAAGTTTTATAAAGCGGTGGTTAGACCGGCCATGATGTATGGGGCTGAGTGTTGGCCCGTTAAGAACTCACATATCCAGAAGATGAAAGTAGCAGAAATGAGGATGTTGCGGTGGATGTGCGGGCACACTAGGATAGATAAGATTAGGAATGATGATATCCGGGAGAAGGTGCATGTGGCTCCCATTGATGACAAGATGCGGGAAGCGAGGCTTAGATGGTTCGGACATGTTCAGAGGAGAAGCCCAGATGCTCCGATACGGAGGTGTGAGCAGCTGGTTGTGGATTGCACGAGAAGAGGTAGAGGGTGACCTAAAAAGTATTGGGGAGAGATGATCAGGCAGGATATGGCGAGGCTCCAGATTTCCGAGGACATGACACTTGATAGGAAGATGTGGAGGTAGAGCATTAGGGTTGTAGGTTAGGAGGTAGTTGAGTCGTGCCTTACTTCGTACCATTGTGGGACTAGCCATGTAGGGTTTTTGTCTAAGATAGCTATTGGCAATGTTGTGGCTTACTATTTCGCTTTTCAGTGCATGTCCTATTTACTAGCTATCGCTTTTGCTTTGCATCTTTCTTCTAGATTTCATGGTGTTCCTATTTTTCTTATGATTGTCGTGGTGATACTAATATTTACTAATATTATCTCTCTTTGCTTTGCATCTTTCTTCTGGATTTCATGGTGTTCCTATTTATCCTATGATTGTTGTTGTGATACTAATATTGTTTCCTTTATGTCATTTTGTCATTTTGTCTTTTTATTTTTTTGAGCCGAGGGTCTTTCGGAAACAACCTCTCTACTCCTTCGGGTAGGGGGTAAGGTCTGCGTACACACTACCCTCCCCAGACCCCATTAGTGGGATTTTACTGGGTTGTTTTGCTTGCTTGCTTGCTTTAAGGACATGATCTCTAATGAAATGATGTTTAATATCTATATTCTTAGCCCTAGAATTATGCATAAGATTTTTTGAGAGACATATAGTACTAGAGTTATCACAAAATATTTGAATAGGTTTAAAAAATAGTTCATAGTCACCCAGTAGATGAGACATCCATATTAACTGTGCACAACACTATCCAATGGCAATATATTCTGCCTCAGTTGTGGATAATACAACTGAGCCTTATTTCTTACTGTTCCATGATATTAATGCCTTTTCCAGTAATTGACATGTTCCACTAGTGCTCTTTCTGTCTTCCTTATCACATGCAAGATGAATATCTGAAAAACCTTCAAGCTTAAAATTGTTAGAACATGGGTACCATAGTCCATATGAAATAGTTCCAATGAGAAAACAAATTATTCTCTTTACTGCAGTCAGATGTGATTCCTTAGGAACTGATTGAAACCTGGCACATTTTCACATACTGAACATAATATCTGGTCAACTGCAGGTAAAGCAGAGAGCCAATCATTCCACAGTATTTAATTTCATCAACTGGATTTCCTTTTTCATCCTTGTCGAGACTTGTTGATAGGTTCATTGGTGTACCAATTGTTTTAGCACTGCTCATGCCAAACTTTTGAATTAATTGCCTAGTATATTTTGTCTGGCACACAAAAGTTCCTTCTTCAGATTGTTGAATTTGAAATCCAAGGAAAAAAGTAAGCTCTCCCATCATGCTTATTTCAAACTCACTTTGCATGAGATTAGTGAATTCCTTGCACAAAAGAGGGTTAACACTTCCAAAGATAATATCATCAACATAGACTTGAATAATAAGATTACCTCCTAATGATCTTTTGATAAATAATGTAGTGTCTACTTTACCTCTTGTAAAGCCATGATCAAGTAGAAATGAGCTAAGTCTTTCGTACAAGGCTCGTGGAGCTTGTTTGAGTCTATACAGAGCTTTAGTTAACTTATACACGTGGTATGAAAATTTTGAGTCTTCTAAACCAAGAGGTTGTTTTACATATATCTCCTCATCAATAAAGCCATTTAAAAAGGCGCTTTTGACATCCATTTGGAAAAGTCTAAATCTTTTGAAAGATACATATGCAAGAAGAATTCGTATGGACTCTAGTCGAGCTACTGGAGCGAAGTTTTCATCGTAGTCAACTCCTTCCTGTTGTGAGTAGCCTTGGGCTACTAATCTGGCTTTGTTTCTCACAACCTTTCCATGTTGATTTAGCTTATTTCAGAAAACCCATTTGGTTCCAACTACGGTAGCATTTGCAGGCTTAGGTAGCAGTTCCCAACTTGATTTTTATCAAATTGATCGAGTTCTTCCTGCATTGCTTGAACCCAGCTGAAGTTTTTTAAGGCTTCCTCAACCTTCTTTGGTTCGATTTGAGAGATGAGTGCTACATTTGCCTTTTTCTTGAGAGCTCCCCTGGTTTTCATTCCTTCACTTGGATCTCATATGATAAACATCTCAGGATATTCCAATTCACTTTTCCACTCATTTGGCCGTGTTGCAATAGTATGAGTAGTTGACTCCTTCTGTGATTCTGGTTGATTATTGATTGGTTCATTAGTCGACTCTGTGACGGTGTCTGTATTACCAGTCGACTTTTGTGATTTGCTTGTATGTGATGTTTCTTGGTTGATGTTTTCATCACTTTCAATAATTACTTTCTCGGTCGTAGTATTATTTTCATCAAATATGATATGTACTGATTCTTCTATAGACAAAGTACGTTTATCATAAACTCTAAAAGATCTACTGTTTATGGAATAACCGAGAAAAATATCTTCATCACTTCTTGGATCAAATTTTCCAAGATTGTCCTTACCGTTATTGTGGATAAAACACTTACTGCCAAATGGATGAAAATAGCCTATGTTGGGTTGTTTACCTTTCCATAATTCATATGGAGTTTTCTTCAAGATAGGTCTTATAAGACATTTGTTGAGAATGTGGCAGGTTGTGCTTACTGCTTCTGTCCAAAAATGATTTGGCAGAAAATGTTCCAATATCATTGTTCTGGAAATATCTTCTAGAGTTCGATTTTTTCGCTCAACTACTCCATTCTGTTGAGATGATCTTAGAGCTAAAAAGTTGTGAGTATATCCTTGATCATTGGAGAAATCTTCAAATGCTCTGCTTTCGAATTCTCCTCCATGATCACTTTGGATGGTTGTAATGAGATACCTTTTTTCTCTTTCAACTCTTTTATAGAAAATCTTAAAGTATTTCAAAGCTTCATCTTTATGAGATAAGAAAATCACCCATGAAAGACGTGAGTAGTCATCAACAATAACAAAAACATATCGTTTTCCTCTAATGCTAGCAGTTCTGGCGGGTCCAAATAAATCCATGTGAAGCAATTATAAGGGCTTGGTGCTGGACACAATATCTTTGCTTTTGAAGGAGTTTATGATTTGTTTACCAATCTGACATGCATCACATACATGATTTCTAGAAACATTGAGTTTAGGAAGTCCAATACCTAATCATGCTTGGAGAGTTTCTCAATTAGATGAATGCTTGTATGACCAAGTTTCTTATGCCACAACAGTGGATCATCAGATATAGATTCTAAGCAAATGTAACTATCTAAATTTTCAATTCCATCAAGAATGTAAACATTTCCATACCTTTTTCCTAGGAGCATAATTTTACCTGACTCATCTTCAATAATACATCATGTTTTCTTGAATTTAACTTTGTACCCTGAATCACAGAGATGACTTATACTCGGGAGATTATAGTTGAGTCCATCTACAAGATATACATCAGTAATTTCACAGTTGTTAGTGAATGGAACTGTGTCGGTGCCAACTATCTTTCCTCTTGAATCATCACCAAATTTGACACTTCCTCCATTTATCTTAGTAACTTCTTTGAACAAGTTTTTGTCACCTGTCATGTGACTAGAACACGCACTGTCTAAGTACCATTTTCCTTTGCGGCTCTTTCTGTGGTGTTCCTACCAAATAAAATTATTACTTTCTTTTAGGTACCCAAGCTTGCTTGGGTCCTTGCTGGTTAGTTCTACTAGAATCAGGTTTGTCTTTGGGTTTCCAAATCCATCCTGAAATATTAGACTTACAAAATCTGCAAAAAGAGTAATTATATCCAACTTTATTACAGTAATGACACACATTGATTGATATTTTTGTGGATTCAATTCTAGCTGCCCCTTTTCCAGTTGACTTGTAAGTCGCCTGGTTGGACTTGACGGAACTGTGACTGGTGGATTTACGCATGCCATTCAATTGCATTTGCAATTCCTGAACCTCATCTTGAAGTACATCTCTTTCGATTTCATATACTTCAAGTTTGAGTTCCCAGTCCTTCTTTTCCCTATTGAGTCTTCTCAATTCATTCAACATCTTTTGAGACTCCTTTAGGGTGAGATCAAGAATATCCTGCAATTCATTACATCTATCACTTTTATATGATCTTACCTCGCTTGTTTCACCACATGCCATGAAACAATTTTCAGTATTTTCTTTGCTTTCATTATCTGATGTGTCTTCATCAGTCCAACATCCAGAGTATTTGTTCATGTCATTATCGAGAATCGTCATGAAACACAAGTTTGCTATTTCTTCATGTTCTGAGCTTTTTTCATCACTCCAGCTTCCAAAAGATTTGTTTTTGTTGAATCCTCTGGAGGATTTTCTTTTAAGTTCAGGACATTCAGCTTGAACATGCCCGTATCTTCCGCATTCATAGTATTTCCTATCATTCTTGTCTTGTTCATTATATTACCTGGTTCGTCTGGATGACATCCTTCCCCTTATTGTGTTTCTATACCTTCTCATTAAACTATCCACGTTTCTTGATACCATGGCAATCTCCTCTTCAAGAGCTTCTGGGTCGTCATCTATATCATTTTTTGGTCTTTCAGTTGTAGCTTTGAAAGCAACTGTTTTCTTCTTTTCTTCCTGATTTTTTTTCTTGAGATATGTTTTCTCGAATGCTATAAGATCTACTCGTAGTTCATCATATGAAAGTTTGTTTAGATCTTGAGATTCGAGTGCGACTACTTTTTTCTGCCAAGTGGTAGGTAAACTCCTTAGAATTTTTCGAACTTGATCACCACTTGAGTAGGGTTTACCAAAGGCTTTTAGATCACCAATGATTTTGCTGAACCTTGCAAACATTTCCTCAATGAATTCTTCTTCTTTCATCTGGAAGAGTTCATAATCATGAACCAACATGTTTATGTGAGTTTCTTTCACCTTGCTGGTTCCTTCATAAGTAACTTCCAATTTATCCCACATTTCTGTGGCTGTGTCACAATTTGAGATTTTCTCATACTCTTCTCCACTTATAGCATTATAGAGTAAATTTCGTGTCTTAGCATTGACCTGAACAACTGTTATTTGCTCATTTGTGTATTCATCTATATCTTCCGGATCAACGGGTGGTTGAGCTGCTGCTGTTAGTGGATAGTTACCCTTTTTGATAACGCACCATACTTTGACATCATAAGGTTTTGCATATATTTTCATTCGCACTTTCCAGTAAGAAAAGTGTTGTCCATTGAAATTTGGTGGCCTGACTTGCGACGTTCCTTCTTGAAAGAGTGCTCCAACAGTTACTTGATTTGCCATGATCTTTTTTCACAAGCTGTTAAGCAAAAAGAGTGAGACTAGCTCTGATACTAATTGAAAGTACAAGATGAGGGGGGTGAATTGTCGATTTTTATTTTCAGTACTCTAAGTAGTTGACTAGTTTACCAATTAATCGACTAGAGATAAGAATAGAATAATAATAATACAAAAATAAAGTGCAGGAAATAAGGACACCGAGATTTTTATACTGGTTTCGGATTCAATATGAATCCTACGTCTAGCCCCCTTGCGTTGCAAGGGTGATCTCTTTTAGTATTTGAAGTTTCTCGAGTACAAGATGGTTGGTGTAGCTTTACACCAACATCTTAGTCTTTATATCACTTTTCACTTCTTGATACAATGCCTCACCAGTGTTTATCTCTTTTTCTTCTCTCACTAATTACATAACAGATCTAAAAAGAAATGTAATGCTTGTTTGGAGTAGAATAAAAAGAGTGATAGTGGTTCGTTCAAAGTATATGTGCTTCAGGCTTGGAACAGATGTATATATTCTTCGTGAGGGCCTTCTTGACTCTTGGTTGACGCGAGCCTTGAGAGACTACAAACCCAAGGGAATTGATCCTTTAACGGAATCGCAAATTGATTCTTTCCAAGAATAAGGTCAGGTTTCCGTTGATCTTCCTTGACTTGTGGCCTTGACAAGCTTTCCTTCCGTTGGGTAGAACTTCCCGTTACTTGAGTGATTAATGATGAATCCCCTAATTTCGGGCTTTAACAATCTCCAGCGTAGAGATTTGCACTCTTGTTCTCCTTTGATTTTGGGACCTTCCTATACTAGCTTCTGTCAATCATCTATCAAATCATTGATTGATTCTTCTTCCGGATTTCCGCTGCTTCTTCCTTTTTCGTAGCTAATCATTGATATTTTTCCTTTCCTTTTCTTCCATTGATAGATTGTTTCCTTAGTCCATTCTTGAATGATAGGGAATCTTAATTTCTTTGTTTTATCCCTTGTGATCCTGCACCAAACGTGATATATTATTTTTTCATCATTGAAACTCATATTTAACAGTAAGTGAGCTTAAATTAAATACAGCAAGGTCAACTTATAGAGTGCATTATTCTGTAATTTTGTCTCCTGTAAATGCCTATAAACGGCTGATATTGTAAAATAAATAGTCTGAGGAACGGCAGCTCATTTGACTCAAAACATAGCCTTTCCCTGTGCATTACCAAATCTGATCTTTCTAAATTCAGTTTGCTATATTTCTAGCCATTTTGTTTTTCCTGCAGCAGCATCTTTTTTTTTTGCTGTTCCAGTAAACTAACAGATTTCGCCTTTTTTTTTTCTTCCTCTGTTTGCACAGATATAGAGAGGCATGTAGATGTGATAAAATGAATGAACCATCATCAAGATATTAAAGATTAGAACAGAAGTAGAAGGAAAACAATGCATGTGTAGCTACCACTGTACTAATTGTGATGTTATATTATTATCCATATTTGGCGTTTGAGACATAATATTCGATTAAACTTAGGAGGATATTGTTAACTGTCGGACTTTTCTGCTCAATATTTGAGATTATAAGAATTTTAATTTATGTGACGTTTGTTGAGTGATTGTGCCATTGAAGATGATATAAGCTTCTATTATTGGGAAGCTACGCTTATTTAGTTGTGTTCTATATGTGATCGTGTGCTTGAAAACTACCATTCAATAATAACTTATTAGAATGATATTTTAGTTACTTATTCAACATGTTGTCCAAAATACATCAGATCCGTACTTAAAGAAAAGAGGAAAATGTGCAAAATATTATAAAATAAAGACTATAAAAGAAATAAACTGAAGATAAGTATAGAGGGAGATTGATATTTTATTCAATTTTCAAACTTTTGTTCATAATGAACTGAAAACTCCTCTATTTATAGAAGAAATGAAGCAGCTGCGAGGCTTTTTAGGAAGCAGCTGCGAGGCTTTTCTTTAGCTGCTTGTAAGCTGTCTGCATGAGCTGCTTGCAACCTGCCTGTTTAATAAGAAGCTGCTGCAAATCATTTCATTGAGTTGCTTGCAACCTGTCTGCATTAGAGACTTGTAGATAAACTTCAACAGAGTACTAAATGGATAATCTTCTTCAGAAAGATTATCTATAGCGGAGTAATGAATGGACATCCACAATATAATATTTTCATAACACTCCCCTTTGGATATTCATTAAAAGATAATGTGCCTCGTTAAAACCTTACTAGGAAAAATCCCGTGAAAAAAATCCTAGTGAAGGAAAAAGAGTACACATATTTAGTTATACGCATAACTAATTGTCTCGTTAAAAACCTTATAAGGAAAACCCTATGGGAAAAACCTTAGTAAGGAAAAAAGATACAACGTGTATTTCACTCCCCCTGATGAAAACCTTGTTCCAAATATTTGAGTCTCTGCATTCCAATCTTGTAAACCATCTTCTCAAAAGTTGAAGTTGGCAAAGTGAACAAATCTACTGGATTGTCACTTAAATGGATTTGTTGCATATCGATGTCACCATTTTTCTGAAGATCATGTGTGTAGAATAATTTTGGTGAAATGTGCTTCGTTCTATCTCCTTTTATAAATCCTCCCTTCAATTGGGCTATGCATGCAACATTGCCTTCGTATAAAATTGTGGGTCTTTTCTCATATTCCAAACCACATTTTTCTCGAATAAAATAAATTATTAATCTCAACCATACGTATTCCCTACTTGCTTCATGAATAACTATTATCTCAGCATGATTTGAAGAAGTAGCAACAATAGATTATTTTGCGGAGCGCCATGATATGACAATACCTCCATATGTAAACACGTATCCAGTTTGAGATCGAACTTTATGTGAATCAGATAAATAACCTGCATCTACATAACCAATATGATCTGCACCACCTTTGTTAGCATTAACAAGATACATAAGTGCACCAATTGCATTAAGATAGAGTATTTCAGGACCAAGGAGTTCCTCATCATCTTCTGGAGGTCAGAACAGATCCTTATTCACTTCAAGTGATCGAACACCCATTTGGTGTACTTAATGGGTGTACTTTGTCCATGTAAAAGCGTTTTAAGACCTTTTCTGTATAGACAAATTGATAGATAAAGATCTCGTCTGCTAAATATTCAATTTGCAGACTAAGACAAAGTTTTTTCCTTTGGAGCTCTTCTGGAGTTCCTATGTATTTATGCCATTAACATAAACAACAAGTATAACAAACTATGATGTTGTTTTCTTTGTAAAAATGCATGGACAAATGTCTTCATTTACATAACCTTCATTCATCAATTCAATGAGGCGATTATATGACATGCGCCCAGATTGATTTAAACCGTACAAAGATCTTTGTACTCTGATTGAATGCATTTCACGATGCTTTGAACTATATGTTTCAAGCATTTTAAATCCTTCAGGGATCTTCATATAGACTTAATCAAATGAGTCATATAGGTTATGCCTTGCATTTAGATGGCATGACATCTTCAGGTGTCTGGACTACAGGTCCGATCCTCACAATCTTTTACAATATTGTGAACTATATTGTATCAAATATATCGTCGACGATCGTTTTGCATCGGTTCGCAAGTGACATAACTTGTTGAAATCTCATCACTTTCTTTATTTTCAGGTACCTGAACTTCTTCTGGGGTTTCATGAAATGTTATGTCATGGGCTCTTCTAGAGCTCATTTCCTCCTCATTGTGATCATTTTGATCATTTGCTCCTATCCTTTTCAAGGATTGTTATCTTTGGAACCGATCGGTTTACTACGCTTCATGAGTGCAATAAACTTTATCCTCCAGGGACTTTAATTTTAATAGGAGCATTTGTAGCTGAAATATGATATTTAATTTTGGATCAACAAATGCTTCTGGCATTTGACTTGAATTATCTTTATCATATTAATGATAATTCGATTCATATAGTATATTTTTCAACTGTTTATTCTATCCCTCAAATGTTAGAAAAACTAACACATATCCCCCAATCTTCTTTGGGGAACCTATCTTTGTGCATTGTGGTAGAGAAATTAATTATATACCACACATCAAAAGTTATTAGATAGTAAAACTATTTGGTTTCTGATCCTAAGCCAATTGTAAGGGGAGAACTTATAATATTTTGTTGGTCTGATGCATACAAGTGCTGATGTATGCAATTTAGAAAATCTTAGACCAACACATGAGGCTTTGCTCTTATAAGAAATAGTTTAGCCATTAATAAGAGGTATTCGATGCTAAACTAGCTTTGATATAAACCAGCATCATCAAGATGAACTATCTTGATTTCATAATATGAAAATTATGCTCTTAATTGAGAAAGACAATTTCAAATGCCAAACTGTAAGTTGACAATAAACATACATGTAACCATCTTATATATGCATCTATAAGTGGTTCACGTGATAGGTGAATGGGCCCATATTATCCTTTTATATATTCCAGAATTGGGAAATTTTAGTCCCAACTTTAGCTGGTATAATCAAGTTATTATGAGAACAAACAACACAAGACAATTCTTGAAGAATCTTCTAGTTCTTTAGTATATGCTTATATGAATTCTCAAATAGCTCATTTAAATATGGCAAATAAAAACTTCAAGTTTATCATGGCATGTGCTATCTCTAAGTAAACTTCTGGTTTACTATGGCAAAAACTTTTGCATCAGTAAATTTCTGATTTACTGTGGCTTCTTTTGTATCAATAAATTTTTGATTTACTGTGACTACTTTTGTATTAGTAAACTTCTGGTATACTGTGATACATGATATCGTACAAATTTAAAGAATACGACAGGTAACTTCTCACATACATATTTACCCCATATGATAGTGGAAACATGAAGATTTTTAATCTTTCAATCATTTGTAGTCTCAGTATGATAGTCATATGTATTAGTAAACTTCGGGTTTACTACAACATATATTTTGACCATAATCATATAATCTGAATGATATATTTGTATATAATTTCTTCGAGAGCCTTCATTTATTTTCCACAATCTAATATTTATCGGACACTACTGATGTCATGTGTCTTCTAGACAAACAGTTAGCTCTTCATGAGCTTTTGTTATACTACCAAATATTGCTCAGACACTTCTGGTGTCATGAGAGAAAATCATAATCAAATGAACAATATAAAGCTAATTCTAAATTTATAAATGACGAAAATTAAGAATTTTAATATTTCTACCACTAACTTTGTGACAAATATCTCCTTCAAGGAGAAATATCATTATCATCTGAATATTTTGTATCAATACGGCAACCACATAGTCATTGCATCTTTTAAGGAAAGATACACGAGTTGTTATTTCCTTCGGGGAACTCAATAACTAACCATAATATATTAATGTGATTGTAGTAGAAATTATTCTACAAGAATGCTTTTGCCTTAGAATGATACTTAATAAAAATATCCAAGATGTTTTACGTACAACATGTACGTGCGACAATGATCTTTATACCATTAAAATAATATTTACATCCTCTATTATTCTACCTCTTCAGGAGGTGAGTTGTGGTATTTCTTCATTCACTCCAGGGAATGAAAATGTGCTTCAAAATAACTTTGAATAGCTCATTATTTTGTTTAAGCACAGAAAGACACTGCTTCAAAATATTTTCCTATTTCAGGAGGAAATTTCAATTGTGTTACTTCTTCAGGAGCAAATTTAAAATACGAAATATTAAATATATATTCTCTCAATCATATTAACTCTTCTGGAGGTGAATTGTAATATATTTACATCAAGAGTGCGCTCATATTTATGGCTTTATTGATATTATCACATTTACTTCAGGGAATTGATTAATGTTTATCAAAAATTCTCATCCTTCAGGAAATCGAACATAATTATCTGAACGCGCATTAATCATATCAAATTGTGATGCTTCAACCTCTTTTAAAATATTTATTACTTCAGGAGCAAATCGAGGCGTGCATGTAATATAGAGAATATTTCTCTAGCTTATCTTTAATTGTAACTATAGAAAGCCTAAATTATCACTTCTGGTGATTAACAAAATTTAGTTAAAATGAGATACACGAAATATAACCACTTCTGGTGGTTGTATATTTCTTGCAAACTCTGCTGGAGTTTAAGTGGATCTAACAATGTTATCCACTTTGTAATCCTTTATTAAGATAATAATGATGAAAACAAATACCAAAATAGGTACTGTATACGTAACATATAACCAAGCAAGCGATGATAAAGATATTAAAATATAAGCAAAAGGCTCAAATTAAATTACACAAATTTGGCTACTCCATATGTAAGTGATATCTACATCACTACTGCCAAGAAGAAAAACTCACCACCTCAAGGATATAATCTGCCTTATGATGCTCGGAATGAACAAGATCTGACCACGGACATAAGAGTGTCGCCTTACATCGGAGATGAATACTGAAATAGAAATTAAATTCAATGTAATTGCTCAAAATGACAGAGTCTCGTACTGATAACGTGTTATAAAATAAAGACTATAACAGAAATAAACTGAAGACAAGTATAGAGGGAGATTGATATTTTATTCAACTTTCAAACTTATGTTCATAATGAACTGAAAACTCCTCTATTTATAGAAGAAATGAAGCATCTGCGAGGCTTTTCAGGAAGCAGCTGCAACGCTTTTCTTTAGCTGCTTGTAAGTTGTCTGCATGAGCTGCTTGCAACCTGCCTGTTTAATAAGAAGCTGCTGCAAATCATTTCATTGAGTTACTTGCAACCTGTCTGCATTAGATGCTTGTAGATAAATTTCAACAAAGTACTAAATGGATACTCTTCTTCAGGAAGATTATCTATAGCGGAGTAATGAATGGACATTCACAATATAATATTTTCATAACACAAAAAACTAACTATAGGGGTAAAAGTAAAAGCTAGTGTTATTTTAGGACTAAAGTATAATTCTGAAAAACCCTCCGACTTAACTTCCTTTTTTTTCAACAAAAAATGAACACAATAAAATTGAAACAAGAAGAGGAAAAGCAGAGTACAAGTAAGCAAGACAGTGGAGTTTCCTTTTTTGCTGAAAATAAAGGGATTCTTCACGCCCGGTTCTTTCTTAATCCATATTCAATTTCTTACAACTCAAAATACTTGTTATTTATGTGTTTCTTATAGTAGAAATTGTCAAGTTAAATTGTGTACAATGTGTTTGTGAAATTTCCCAAGTGAACTTTTGGTGTGGGAGGTACTGAGAGTTGGCCCATTAGAGCAGTTGAGCGGAGCCTATAAGTTTCACTTTAATCAGTTACAAAAATTGTACTCTTAGTTTTTGTCTAAAACCAGTCTTATAACTTCTTTTGTAAACATTGCAAGGTCCATGTAGTAACACATAAATGCCTGTTCAAGTAGGAAGTTTTCACTGTTAAATGTAAGAATTAAGACATATATGTTGAATTTAGATGCTTTGGGAAATGTCTTTAATATATATATATGGATGAGGAATCTGCTGCTAAAATTGTGGGATTGTCTGTACTAGGTACAATAGTTGAGGTATGCCTAAGCTGATACAACTGCCATAAAATATTTGTGGGATTGCCAAATATGATATATATCTCATGTGTCATTCTTTTAAGGTTGTGTTATTTGGATGAATGAGAATGACTAATGAAGTTGGGATCTAACATTTTGTTTAATTCAAGTTAAATGTGCTTATTCAACTAACATGAGGACTAAAACATAAATAACACAATAATTCAGAGACAAATTGCTATCTTGATATCATACTAGTGCTTCAAATATATGCAGGCAAACATTACAAATGTAACATATATACATGTCGACTGCGAATATTTCTCACTATTGCTGTTATCGTCCTGCCTCAATTGTAATTGTCACTTGATTGTTAGAAACTTTGGAGGAAGACGATATGTTAGACGTGTGTGTTCTCATTACAAAAGCTGGTCGATTAGGTCTAGGAAGACACGTATTTTCCCCTACCAACATTACTATGACATCTGACATATTGGGACGATCAATTGAATCTTCTTGTACACACAAGAGTGCGACATTGATACACTTTATCACTTCACTCATGTTGCATGAATCAAGTAATGACTTCTCTGTTAGTTGTATTGCCTTCTCTTCTATCCACAATTTCCATGCCTGTGATAACATTCAATTAGATATAAAGACTATTTAAAAGGACTACCAGTATATAGGTTTGAGATTCGTCACTTACATAACCTAACAAGTTTAGCGCTTCTTCTGGTTGGTAAAATCCAGTGTTCTTTCTTCCACTAATTATCTCAAGTACGACTACTCCAAAACTGAATACGTCTGATTTGATGGAAAACAGTCCATCTAATGCATATTCAGGAGACATATAGCCACTAGAGTACACCAAAGTGTTAAGTATAAGAATTGAACCAAAAACAAAAGAAAACCAAACACCTATAGTTGGATCATTAGCAAGAAATAATGATTAGGAAGGGAGGTTATACTTACTAGGTCCCCACTACTTTCTTTGTATTTGCTTCTGTTTTTGTTCCTTCAACAATCCTTGCCAAGCCAAAATCTGAAATTTTTGGATTCATTGCCTCATCTAGTAAAATGTTGCCAGTTTTTAAATCTCTATGAATGATCCTTAGTCGTGAATCGTGGTGAAGATAAGCAAGACCTCGTGCAATGCCCAATATGATGTCATAACGTTTCTTCCAATCCAGTAATGTACAAAGTGATCCATCTTGCATAGTTGTCCAAAAACATTGATGGCATCAATACCATAATCATGTCAAAAACATACAATTTTCAGATAAGAGTATATTTTTTCAGACTTACCAAATATAAATGTGTCCAAACTTTTATTTGGCATATATTCGTACAACAAAATTTGTTCCATTGCATTGATGCAATATCCCAAAAGCCTGACCAGATTTCGATGCTGAAGTTTCGCAATTAAAGTCACTTCATTCTTAAATTCATCTATGCCTTGTCCGGAGTGACTTGATAGCCTTTTCACTGCAATCTCTTCTCCTCCTGGAAACATACCCTGCCAAAAGTTTTTCCATCTTAAAACTATACGTGAACACAACCACATCGATCCATTGAGGCCAATCAATCAACTTTATCTTAATTCCAAGCTAGTTAGAACTAGTCGATATTTAGAGATGCAAGAAAGGAATCTTAACCTTGTAAACAGGACCAAATCCCCCTTGTCCGAGCTTATTTGCATCTGAGAAGTTGTCAGTAGCTACCAAAACGGTTTCCAAATCAAAATATGGAACATCAATGACTTTATTCTCATCGTTTTCAATCATCAATTCTCTTCCTTCTCCTTCAGCTTTGTGCCAGTGAGAGATTTGTGTCCCTTGACATGGAATCCCGAAAGTTATAAAGGAGATCATTATCCAGAGTCATATGACATTCATTCAGCAAATTTATACCTGTTCCTTTTGCCGTTCTTCTTCTTCTATAGTAAATGTAGCTAATGCTGCATATGAGTAGAACCATAAAAAGTATTATGGCAGCAAGGATAGCTTTAAGCTTCATTGATTTCTTCGCTTTAGTTTGAGCTGAAAATAACGACCAGAAATCAAGTTAGATATCTTGAACATCTATCTAGAAGGACCATAGTTTTAGCAAACCTCAGGGCCATATTTAGAATCCAAAAGGAAAAAGATTAGTTTTCAAACTCCTAGTAAATGGATTTAAGACTTAATTTTGAGTTTTAACTATTTTCTTTGCTCAACCGACTCTCCGATTAACAAAAAATAAAAGGAAAATTGTTGAAGATATGATTAAAATAATAAAAATATGATCTCTAATAGCTTAAGCTTTTAGACAAGATGGTTAACAAAAATCGAATTTAGTAATTACATTGTAGTCATAATAATAAGGAATTCTACCCTCAAAATGTAATATTAATAATAGGGAACATTATCAAATAACCTACAGTATAACTACAGATAACCGTCCACAAAAATGTCATATTAATAACCTGGAAATTAAGGTAGTCCCCAGCTACAACATGTTAAAATACACTATCCACTGTATATAAGTTAAATCTGATTAGAAATACAGGTAAGTCATTTGATGCTATTCTAACCTTGAAGGGAGCCAAGTTTGACAGAGATAGTCCTCTCTGTTTCATTTTCGCTGAGTTGTTGCAGATTGAAGAGATATCCTGTCCAAATTGAACAGGCACCTAAGCCATCATAAGTATAAGCAGTGCAAGAACAACTATCGAAACAAGTATCTCTGCATTGCGAGACTTCTCCAACTGTGACATTTGTATATTGAGAAGTAGGTAATCTCATGGTCAAATTCATCCAGAAATCATCCTTGTCTTCAGTAATGGCACTACATTGCAACTTCCCTTTTCTTGCACATCCACCCGAATAATCATTCAAATTCCATTCATCGACTGATCTTGGCATGAAACCAGTCAAACAATTGCAGGGTGAATTAGTATTACTAGTGCAAACTCCAAATGCCCCACAATAACCATAAACCTGACATTGTTCTCTAGGTTGAGCCCAAAATTCATTCCAACCAGCTGCATTATTCGACCATGTTCGTTGCTTCATTTGTCCTGAGACGTCTATGATCAACCTTGATGTGGTTGTACTATTCTTGAAAATCGAATATGTAAAATAGGACTCGTTCTCGTTGTTAACATAGTAGATGCTCATTTCAGGCACTAAGCTAAATGTGTCACCAGTCCATGTTCCACTTTTCCAATACTGTATAGTCTTATTCCATTTTACAATGAATTGGGCAAGGTTTGGATCTAGCTCCAAGGAAAACAATCCTGGTGCTGGATCACTCGAATTCTTCCATGAAACCAGAACATGTTTCCTTTGTGTAATTTTGTTATATCCAAGCTTAGCACCAGGTAAAAATGTATCTGTTGGGTGATCAAAACTTTGCCAAAGTGTTAAGGGTGTCGATGTATTTGAAGCATCACTCAAAATCAAATTGCCATCATCACCTAGAACTGCTATGACTGAATTATTTCGAGTGTTGTTATAATGGTCATGTGTTGATGACCATATTGAGTTTTGATTTTTATCAAGAAGTACCAAGTTACCTTGAATAATTGTCAACACAGGTAAACTCATATTACCATCTAATATATCAACTGATTTCTCTCTATTTGCTACCCAAACAACAGTTTGTGGATAAATTTTCTTGTACCATATGCCTATGTAATAGTTGAGAGAGTTACCTGGTTTGAAGAAACCAAGCTCAAAGTTTCCACCCGAAGATACAATTGTTTGGCCAATGGAAAGAAATTCATTAGTAGAAATGTTGTCCCCTGATCCAAAGGAGAGATTAGTGTTGAGATTGAAGCATAAAAAGAGCAGATAGAGTATTAGAAATGAATTGTTGTTCTTCATTTCCATGGCTAAACAATTTGTTAAAAGAATAGATGCTGAAAGAAAGAATAAGAAAAAAACAAGGAGAGTACGTGTGGAAGTCTAGATGGAAGGGGAATTTTCTTCTTTGGAGTCAATTAAGGCAGTCTACAAATATTCCTTAATCAAAGATCAGACTCTGAAATTTACTTTCCTCCAATTTTTCTTCTAAAATGTCAACCTCCTCAATATGAACGTGGAGTCCTAGTTAATCAAAATGATGACTTTTAGAGTCTTCCAGCTTGTCCCTACTTAGTACTTCGTAGTTATTTGGTCGTCTGGGATATTTTTTCCTTAAAGAAAAACGATTATCAAATGCCAGTGTGAAAGACAAAATGTTTGACTTCATAATTTGTAGCTCTTTAGTTCAATCGTTAGACATAAAAGTTTACTAAGTCCCATTTTTTCTCGTTGCGATCGGCTAGTAGCTCCGGTCAGTCGGATTTAGGCTTTTCTTACGATGCACGTGAATTGTTACGCGGTGCCTTCCTGAGAATCCTTGGAAGGGCGAAGTAAGTGTCACGATCCTAATTTTCCTCCGTAGGATATCGTGATGACACCTAGTCTTTAAGACTAGGTAAACCTAATATACATGCGGAATATAAATGAAATAATGGATAAACTCTCAAATACTCAACAACTATTAATAAGAAAACTCTGCAACTCAGCATATACAAACTTCCTAAAACTTGGTAGTAACAAGTCGCAAGCTCTACGAATAAGTACTGGTCATCTCTATAAAACAATGTGTCTATTAAGGGTAAGAAAATGAAGTAGACTAGATAGAGGGGGACTCCGAGGCCTGCAGACGTCGGCAGGTTTACCTTCAAGTCTCTGAAGCTGAGCGCGTCTCACTAGTGTCTGGACTGGTAGAAGGTACCTGAATTTGCACAAAAAGATGTGCAAAAGCGTAGCATGAGTACACCACATCGGCACCTAGTAAGTGTCAAGTCTAACCTCGGTAGAGTAGTGACGAGGTCAGGTCAATGCCTTACTGGAATAAATAAGAAACTAAACGAGTAACTAATAGTGTAATAATAATAACAATGAAAATGAAACAAGTAAGAAATATACCAAGATTGACTACATTGAACTAAGGCAAATAATGCATCATGGAAGAAAACGATGAATGTTATGCCAAGGAAATAAGCAACCAAAACATAAGTGAAGTAATAGAAAAGTATCAACAAGAGTCACTACCGAGTTACCACATCATAATCTCAAATTACAAACAATTCACAATCTTTCCTTATATTACCGCGGGAGCCTTGCATTTAGTTTTGAAAATCATTTTTCCCGAAATAGCTTCCCGCGTTTTAGCTCACCTTATCACACCGCGTGGCTTCAAGTAGCTCCCCTACTAGCAACACGCGTATCAAGCCCACCTTATCTCACCACATGCATTTCGACCCCAAAACCTTGTACAATCGCATGCGTATCAATATCACAACCTATCATAAATCGCACCTCAAGTTCCCAATATCACAACTTGCCAAGAAACCAACAACAATAGTGTTTTCACAACAAATAGCCCATGGCTCAACCACAATATGCACAAAAGTCTCAACAATAACAATTGAAGGTGATAACTCAACAAGAATGGTATTTCACAACTTTACAACTTTGCCTCAATGTGAATCACGACCTTCATAACTCAATACCAATTTCAACAACAAGATATCCCAGGAACAACAACTTCAAGTAAATAACTTAATGGTTAAAGAATGTATAAGGAATAGAGGAAACAATACTTCAATTAAACATATTAAGACAATTAACAAGTAAGAGATAAGACAAGTAGAGCATGTGAAGATATACTAATGATGATGAATATAACGTATTAAGGTAACTCATTTAAGGCATGAAAGGAATCTACATAGCTAAAACCGGCCAATTTTCACATTTAGCCCATGTACACACTCGTCACCTTGCGTACACGGCTTTCGCATATCACAATTAACACAAAACCAACACCAATCATAAGGAAATATTCTCCCACACAAAGTTAGGTAAGACACTTACCTCAAAACACGCTAACTCAATCCACTAGTAAGCCTTTCCCTCAATTATCTAACTCCGAATGGCTCGAATCTAGCCAAAACAAATTCATTCCATAAATATAAACTAAAGAAAACTATTCCGAACAATAAAGTTATGATCTTTAAAGAGAAAAAAAAAGTCAACTCAAAACTTCAACCCTGGCTCGTGTATTGGAACCCGATCAAAATTACAAAATCCGAATACCCATTCGGTAACGAGTCAAACCATACAAGAATTACTCAAATCCGACCTCAAATCGCCTTTCAAACCCCCAAAATTTAGCCTAAGAAGTTTTCACAATTTTTTTCAAATTTTCCATATCCATAGTACGGAGGATACGGTGGCACTCCTAGAGAAAACCCCGTGCATCCTCTGAAGTTAAGTCGCTGAAGATAGGTGGGTGGTACTTCTTGTACCTCTTGAGCCTTATCTGCTCCTTCTTAGATGTTGCTACCCTAATCTCGGGCTGCACTGGTATGACCTCTGGGACCTGGTCAACCTGGACCCACTTCTCTAGGGTACAAGTTGCTGGAGTCTGTGCTCCTCCCTCAGCGTGAGATGTGATCGGTGCTAGTGGGATTAACCCTGCCTGAGCTAGAGTACCAAACATGCTCAAGAATTGGGCGACAGTCTCCTGAAGTGCAGGGGTAGTAACATGCGTCTCAGGTACCTACCCTCCAAGTGGAGCTACTGGCAGCTACTCTGTAGCAGCTCGGGCAGGTGCTCTGGCTGCACCATGTGCCCGTACTCAGCCTCTGCCCCGTCCATGGATCTGGCCTCTCGTGGCTCTAGCAGGCAACGCAGGTGTCTGATCATCAGATCCAGTTATGCGTGACCTCACCATCTGCGAATTCGAAGTCAAAAAATTCTCACGATAAGGAATCAAAGAAGTGAAGCTTTTCCTAACAGTTCCATAGCTTCCCGAAGATAAGTACAGATGTCTCTGCACCGATCTGCGAGACACTACTAAACCTGCTTGTGACTCATAACACCTATGAATTTAGAGCACTGATACCAACTTGTCAAGAACACAATTTCCATCGGTAGGATATCATGATGGAACCTAGTCTCTCAAACTAGGTAAGCATAACATACATGCGGAATATAACTGAAATAACTAATAAACTCTCAAATACGCAACAACTATTAATAAGAAAATTTCGCAACTCAGCATACACAAACTTCCCAAAACCTGGTGGTAACAAGTCACAAGCTCTACGAATAAGTACTGATCATCTCTATATAACAATGTGTCTATTAAGGGAAAGAAAATGATGTAGACTAGATAGAGGGGGACTCCGAGGCTTGCAAACACCAACGGGTTTACCTTGAAGTCTCTGAAGCTGAGCTCATCTCACTAGTGCCTGGACTAGTAGGAGGTACCTCGGTCTGCACAAAATATTATTCAGAAGCGTAGCAGGAGTACACTACAACGGTACCTACTAAGTGTCAAGCCTAACCTCGGTAATGTAGTGACGAGGTCAGGCCAAGGCCTTACTGGAATAAATAAGAAACTGAACAAGTAACTAACAGTGTAATAGTAAAAAAAATGGAAATAAAATAAGTAAGAAATATACCAAGATTGGCTACACTGAACTAAGTCAAATAATGCATCATGGAAGAAAATGATGAATGTTATGCTAAGGAAACAAGCAACCAAAACATAAGTGAAGTAATAGAAAAGTATCAACAAGAGTCACTAACGAGGTACTGACTCGTAGTCTCAAATCACAAACAATTCACAATCTTTCCTTATATTACCGCGGGAGACTTGCATTTAGATTTGAAAATTATTTTTCCCGAATTAGCTTCCCACGTTTTATCCTACCTTATCACACCGCGTGGCTTCAAGTAGTTACCCTACTAGCAACACGCGTATCAATCCCACCTTATCTCACCGCATGCGTTTCAACCCCAAAACCTTATACCACCACATGCGTATCACTATCACAACGTATCACAAATCGCACTTGAAGTGCCCAGTATCACAACTTGCTAAGAAAGCAACAATAATAGTGTTTTCACAACAAATAGCCAATGACTCAACCACAATATGCACAAAAGTTTCAACAATAACAATTGAAGGTAATAACTCAACAAAAATGGTATTTCACAATTTTACAACTTTGCCTAAATGTGAATCACAACCTTCATAACTCAATATCAATTTCAACAATAAGATATCCCAACAACAACAACTTCAAGTAAAGAACTCAATAGTTAAATAATGAATAAGGAATAGAGGAAACAATACTTCAACTAAACATGTAAAGACAATTAACAAGTAAGAGATGAAACAAGTAGAGCATGTGAAGATAGACTAATGATGATGAATATAACGTGTTAAGGTAACTCAGTTAAGGCATGAAAGGAATCTACATAGCTAAAACCGATCTATTTCCATATTTAGCCCGTGTACACACTCGTCACCTTGCGTACACAACTTTCACATACCATAATTAACACAAACCAACACCAATCCTAAGGAAAAATTCCCCCACACAAAGATAAGCAAGGCACTTACCTCAAAACATGCTAACTCAATCCACTAGTAAGCCTTTCCCTCAATTATCCAACTTCTAACGGCCCGAATTTAGCCAAAAACAACTTCATTCCATAAATATAAACTAAAGGAAACTAATCCGAACAATAAAGTTACGATCTTTAAAGTGAAATAAAAAGTCAACTAAAAACGTCAACCCGAGCTTGCGTCTCGAAACCCGATCAAAATTACAAAATCCGAATACCCATTTGATAACGAGTCCAACATACAAGAATTAGTCAAATCCAACCTCAAATCGCCTTTCAAACCCCCAAAATTTAGCCTAAGAAGTTTTCATATTTTTCCCCAAATTTCTAGCTTTAATAACTAATTAAATGATGAAAATAACAATGGATTCGTGTAATATAGCCAAAACCGAGTTAGAATCACTTACCATAATGAATTTCTTAAATCCCCCACAAACTATCGTCACAAATCGAGCTTTCTAAGTCCAAAATAAAAAATGAGATGAAACCCTCGTTTTGAAATTTTAATACTGCTGCCCAGTCGTCCTCTATCGCGATTGCGGACGAAGACTCACGATGGCGTAGAACAATCCTCTCCAGCTCAATAAAATACTCTTCGCGATCGCGTGAATGCAATCACGAACGCGATTAACAAGCTTCCTCCAC